TTTGTGATTACAAAATTATAATTATCAGAATGAAAAATTCAGCATGTGTATCTGAGTTACTCCTCTATTTTGCACGTTTCCAGGTATATTCAAGAGCTTCTTTAGTGATGTTTACATTATGTAAATTTGTCAAATATGTTATGTGTTATCAAATATGAAATTTATTGATATTAAAAGACTATTAATGTTGCTTTATATTCAGTATTTTGGTTTAAAAAAATCAGAATTTTAGAATTTTAATATTCGTTGAAAGGTTGTTCCAACCTGACCAAACCGACCCAACCCGATCGACATTTGGTTAGGTTTCAATTTTTTCGTGGGTTGGGTTGGGTTGAATTTCGATCAAACCGATCGTATTGGGTTGAGTTTGGATTGGGACAAAAACCGACCCAACCTAACCCACGTCCACCTTGTCTGTGACCGATATACAAATTGTGATCTATAAAAGTTTTGGACTATGACCTGAGTTGTGACATGAGCTGTGACTTGTGAATTGGACTATGACCTGAGTCGTCGGAATCGGAGCAGTCGTCGGAAACGGTCACCAGAACGGTCGCCGGAATCGGAGTAGTCATCGGAACGATCGTCGAAAAGTTCGTCGAAGTAGGGCAGTGATCGGAATGGTCGTCGGAGCGGTAGGGGTGGTGAATGTGGGGTGGGTTAATTATATTATATTATAATTAAATATTTAATAATAAATTAATTTAATAATTTATTATTTCATAAATATAAATTTGAAAAAATTTAAAAAAATCTGATTTTGGTAACTTTAAACTTGTGTTCTTATTTTTGAAATAGACTAAACTTATACTCTTAAATATCTAATCTTTCAAAAAATATAACTTTTTCTCTAATTGGGACTCAATACATGAGCCCAATAACAACGGGCCTAGTTTGAGACCCACAACGGGTCTAGGTCAAGTTGCGAGACGAATAAAACCTTATCTTCATCGTCTCTCGCATTTTCTCCATTCGCACAGGAAAAACCAGTAGATAGCGGAAGTAGAGGTCGAGTGAGAGAGAGGAGAAATGGTGTCGCTAAAGCTACAGAAGAGGCTGGCGGCCAGCGTTATGAAGTGCGGGAAGGGCAAGGTCTGGCTCGACCCCAATGAAGTCGTCGAAATTTACAAGGCCAATTCCCGTACGGTCTCCTTTTCCCTTCACATAAAAAGGATTTTATATATAGATATCTGTATATGGATATGGATATTTGTGTATGATAATCAGTTTTTGATTCAATTTTGGAAAATCTGTTCTGATTTGATTCTTTTAATACTCCAAATAAGCAAATTTTGGTGCTTAGCCTAATTTGTATTATGTACTGATTTTATGTACAGTTAAGACTTAAGGATCAGTTTTTATGAATCAATAACTACTTGTCTGTTGTGGATTCTTTCTATGGACACTTTTTATCAGTTCAAAATCTCTACTATAGTTGTTCATATCTCGAGCTTTAAGGAACATTGAATTTCTCACTGTTTAGTAAAAAAGTGTTCTGGTCATTTAAAGGATGATAGATATTGTTGATTGTATACAAATATCTTAAATGAATTATTAGGATAGATATGCTGAATTGGTAAGCAAATCTAGCAGGCAGTCAGATACAATCTTTATTAATTGGGGTTGGATTTGTTTTACATTTATATTGATTAGGAGAATATTGCTGCTCGGGACGTTATTCAATTTTTTTGTAGTATAGGATTTTTAGGCCCTCCCTGTTACAACTTCGCCTTGAGATGCAGGACAAAACATTAGGAAGTTAGTCAAGGATGGCTTTATCATCAGGAAGCCAACTAAGATTCATTCTCGGTCCCGTGCTCGCAGAATGAAGGAGGCCAAGAGAAAGGGTCGTCACTCAGGATACGGTACTGTCTTATGGTTGTGAGAATATATTCATTACTGTTCCTTCCATAACTTATATATGATGTTTTGTTAAGAGGGAAGAACAAGAGCCAAATTTTCTTAGATGCTTTCTGAATACTTTCAGGTAAACGTAAGGGTACCAGGGAGGCTAGGTTGCCCACAAAAGTTCTGTGGATGAGGAGGATGAGAGTTCTTAGGCGCTTGCTTCGCAAGTATAGAGAGTCGAAGAAAATTGATAAGCACATGTATCATGACATGTACATGAAGGTGAAAGGTAATGTTTTCAAGAACAAACGTGTTTTAATGGAGAGTATTCACAAGTCTAAGGCTGAGAAGGCAAGAGAGAAGACATTATCTGACCAGTTCGAGGCCAGGAGAGCAAAGAACAAGGCTAGCAGGGAAAGAAAGAATGCAAGGAGGGAGGAACGTCTAGCTCAGGTGATTGATTGGATATTTCTGTACTTGTGTTTATGTTGTGTCTCTGACCACTCGTGTCGCATACATGAAGTCCTTTCCTATACCTCTTTGTTTGATGCCAATCTCTTAATGACATTCATTGTCAAATGTTCATGGCTGTTTGATCACTTTTATACCTTAAAATTACAAAATTTTCCCATATATTTTATAACAGGGACCGGTCTAGAGAGCTGCGGCCCCTACACCTGCAACCCAGTCAGCTCAGTGAGTGACTTATTTTTGATTTTCAATTCATTGGTTCTTTCAGTTGGTTATTATTTTAGCCATGCCATAACGTTCTTCTAAATTGTTATGCAGGGGAACCAAGAAGGCTAAGAAGTGAAATATCTCTGGTTGCTAGTTTCTAAAGTCGGTGGCTCATTGCCATCGAAATTCCTTTGTTAGTTTGTGATCTCTGTCCAGCGTTTGGTTTTAATCTTTTGATAAAACTGTGTTATCTTTATCTTTAGCTAAATGAGAGGAGTATTAAAATTAATTATGTCGATTGTACTATATCCAGTCGAAAAAAAGAAAAAAAAAATCTTCTTTACCAGAAGGTTTTGTATTTGTTACAGTAAATGTTTGGTGAAACTTAAATTATAATTTAAGTTGGTCAGATATACTTTCTATGATCTATAGCTTATAATTACTTTAAATTTTAATTTAAAAACTCCCAAGCATTACCATTGATGTTATGTGGAAGAAGTTGCCCTGTTCATCAATCCAAAACTAATCTTGCATGATTAGAAAACAGATGACCCAGTGGTATTAGATCGTATAATACGGTACAATTCTTTAACCTTCTATGTACCCACTAAACATCACATTAATGGAGAATACAAGCCGAGTTGCGTGCTCTAGAGCTAACGCTGCAAAACCTATCAGAACTTCAAATATTTTATGAATTACAATGACATCTGGGTAGATCTATATCTCCGTATAGTGTAGATTATCGAATTTGGAAACGTAATAATTTTATCCAAACATACACGTTTATCAGATGGATGAATGACAGCTCTATCTTCATCAATGCATAAATTTTAATGCTTATAAAGGATTATTCTTCAGTGTTTCATACGCATCTCACTTGTTTGGTAGCGTGGAGCTGATGAGGATATTCTGTCATCTCTGCCGAACTGTATATAGTTAAAAAGGTCGTCACTTATTTGATTCGCTCTATCTACACCTGCAACCGATCTCCCTGGAAATTCATTCGGATAGTTGCAAGTAGCAAGCTTCACTATGAATGTAAATGTGCTGCCTTTGCCCAGACCATCACTCTCAATCCAGATGTGACCTCCCATGAGATTGACAAACCTGAGTTCATCAATAAGTAAAGGGATTGAAAATTCCCCGAAGCCATAAAGAAAGAATGAGCTCTGCTCATATATTCATTTTTGCAAGACTCAAATGCAGGAAATTTTAAATCTAGCAGCTCTGAGGTGGCTAAACGCTGAAATCTTAGCAATTATGAAGTCAACTATGCAGTGAATTAATACCGTTTGCAAATGGCGAGCCCAAGACCTGCACCGCCTTTATGTCGATTTGATGCACTTCGTGACTCGGCAAATTTGGTGAAAAGAAGTGGAATATCATGTGGGTTGATACCACACCCAGAGTCTTTCACCTGCATCAATATGTTGGGGAAAAGAGGAATTCTATGATTTTATTACCATGCCCTGTTTCGTAGCCATTAAAAAGAGTTGTTTGGGGAAAATGAGTTTTGGAATAATGATTTTTAGAATAATGTAAGGTTAAAAAGTAGGAAAGCGTTTTGGGTTCACGTGCAAAATATTTTATTGTGTGAATGTGTGGTTGAAAATGGGTTTGAGAAAAAAAAACATTTTGAACAAATGGATGACAAACAGGGTCTAAAGAAGCTTGTGACTAAATCAAACTAGGCAAGTATTACTGGCTGATAAAGTGTGACTGAGAGGACAGTGTTAATGAAGCTAAAATCTTATCAATTATATAGTCCGGTCTTGTACAATACTATGCACCAAGCATGCACTTAATGGAAAATACAAGCTCCATAGTATGTAGAACCGCTGGAAGAAACAAAAACCAAACCCAGGGTGGGGATGGGGGTGTTTATTTATTTTACCTGCACTCGCAAGTAGAAGTGACCATCAGTTGACAAAGGGCGGAATTCAGAAGATTGCCAGTCTCTAATATACTCTGGTTTTGCAACAGAGACATCAATTGAAACATAACCCTCCTTTGTGAACTTCACGGCATTCCCCACAACAGTTAATATGATTTGCAGTAGCCTTTTTTCATCACCAGCAGCATAAACGGGTAGATCCAGAGAAAATGTTAAAGTCATCGACAACTTCTTCACAAATGCAATAGGCTTAACCAAGTTAACAACCTACAGGTGAAGGATAAGGTGTGGCATTGAGTTTACAAATGTATAAACTGGTCAAAAGGCAGGGAAAGGAAATCTGTCATTTTCGTGTTTACCTCTCGGAAGGTTGCTTGAAGATTAAACATTCCCGTGTCTAATTCAAGGCTACCATCTTCAAGTTTAGAAAGATCTAGAACATCATTGATGAGTGTTGCAAGGAGATTGCCACTTTTAAGTATGGTCTCTATCATAGACCTTTGATCAGGAGTTAGCTCAGTCTCCAAGAGCAACGAACACAAAGCTATAGTTGCATGCATTGGCGTTCTCATCTCATGATTCATGACAGCCAAAAAGTCGTTGCGAGCACAAATAGCCATCTCTGCCTCTCGTCGAGCTAAATCTAGAGCTACATTCTGTTGTACGAGCTGATCACGAGCTCGCATGGATTCTTCCAAAATTGCAGCATGAGAAAGAGCCACTGCAACCTAGATAATCAGTTTCAGTTTTTAGATCACAAAAGCATGATATGTCAAATCGCCAAGTAACTACAAAAAACATATGATATCTTGAAGTGGACAAAAATAGCATGAGCTTACACATTCACCCAAAATCAGGTTCCTCGGTATGTTATGCTCATGATATACTTTAATTGACGAGACAAGCTGAGTTTCAAATGGCAAGTTAAAACTTTGAAGCAGCACTTGTAAATATTAAGGATTTTCGGTCCAATAGGACCATAAGACTAAACATAGAATGTTATTTTGGTTATACTAGGAAAATAAAGGTAGCAGTGTCAAAACATAGTATTATTAGGTTCTTAGATTCAAGTATTATATTGAAATGATAAACTGAAAATGATATAGTACAAAGGGCCATTGTATATAGAATGAAATGTAGTAGTAGTGTAAATATTCTATGTTGCACAAGGTCCACCAAGTGAAAACAGACAAGTTAAATAGAATGATAGACTAACTATGCTTTGGATTCTAAGAGTTGAGCCATTAAAAGATAAGATGTCCATAAGATAAACTTAGCAACAATGAAGGTGATAAAATGGAGTCTGGCCTTGTATTCTGTGTACTTAAAAAAATTCTTGTTCCTAAAAGCAGCACGGTCCCAGTAACATATTACAGAAAGAAGGGGTAGACTCAAACTAACATTGCTTGATGTGGTTGTTAACTGTTTTAGTTTCCCTGGATCTTAGAGTAGAAACTCTTAACATTGATTCTCACATTTCAGGAATGTATCCATTTCTTGTTTCCTTTCCCCATCTCAGTCCTTTTGCCGCTTTTTATAGTGTTGTAACATGAAATTCAATAAATAGTAATGCAGAAGAACAGATTGACCGTGGAAAAAGTTGTTCACCATTTCACGCCTTCAATGAAGTGCATATATCACTCAATGCTTTTTTAACAAAACAGTGAATAAAGATTGAATATACATGGAGATGAAATGGCTCCTCACTATGACTGTATGACATTTCAAGTATCTAACACGAGAAAATTAGAAGCTGGAAAAGCGAGCCAGGTAATGGGGGACAATAATAACACGAGATCATCACTTTTTTCTTGTCTATGGACTAACAGAAAATTCATATGTTGAGAGGATACAAGAAATTTTATCCCATATATCTCTAGTATAAATTTGAAAAGAAGAGGTCAGATTTCATTTTATTTTGTTCCAGGAAGTTGCAACAACTTATAGGGAAAAAATAGAATGTATGTATGGAAATAGAAATATGTCAACAGTAATAAACGAGGTTCTAAATGCATCAAGGAAACTACTGTTATCTGCTAGTCGATTCATAATTTTAATGGTCTAAAATTAGGTACAATCTACAATCATAACCAACAATGAGGGTAGCTATGAACTAATGATAAAAACTAGTGAAGGATAAATGCATTTGACGTATGAATAATAATACAATAGTTTCCCAGAATGAAAAGCAATTAATGAAGTCTATGGCATAGTCCTGAAGAGAACACCAAGCAGAAAATGAATAGTAAACAGAAATTCATAAGGTATTATAGCAAAACAGTGACGAAAGAGAAGAAGCTGTCCATAGAAACCTGGTCAGCAACAACTTCGACGAGTTCTAACTCATGATCACGCCATTTTCTTATACCATTCAGAATCAGAACCATCACAGCATAACTTTTTGAAGATTGATCAGGCCAGTCATTGATATGGAAATTTGACAGATGCAAAAGAGGCACGCGTACTGCAACAGCTTCTGGTGAAACATATCTACTAACAAGAGGCCTGATTTTTGCTAGAGGGCATGTGTGTGGAACCTTTACTGCTTCAGCACTATTAAAAACTTCATTCACTAGAGGAAGATTAAGAGGCACGGTGGATCCAACGGGTATCAAATTGTTCAAAGTATGGGAGAGCTGCAAATGTGGGCCTCTTTGTGATGGCATCCACAATGCACATTCTTCCAACTCTAACGTTCTGCCTAACTCGACAAGAGTAGTTTTCAATATTGTGTGCCTATCAATTGTGCTTCTGATCTCATGAGTTAGCATGCGGACATGCCTGCCAGTTTCTTCTTGTTTTATGATAAGTCCCATCTCTCTGTCTAATTCATCGGCTTTGTTCTTCAGAAATATTTCCCGTGTTTTCACACTTAGCAGATCAGGTATTATGTGAACAAGCATCAATGCTGTCACGCACGATACGGCAGCTGTAGACATTTTTGCTATTGTCATCACCATTGCGACAGTTTTAGAATGCAGAGAGGATGTCCACAAACTAATCAAGTGGGTTGCTCCACAAAGAATAATAAAAGCACCAAACTGTATTAGTACCCATCTGTATGGGAAGAATGCAGATTTCTGAACGAAGTAAATAAGCTCTAGTGGAATGGAGAAGTATGCGAAGGCAATAAGGAGATCCGATATATACTGATATTTCATCAGGAGCTCATCACCGGGCCACTGAGTCTCAATGCAATCACAGGACACCATGGGAAGAATCTGAAAAGGCA